GAAACATTAATATATTAGCATAAATCAATATACAATTAACTTGCAACTATTGAATATAAAATAAATCACATTGCTTCAATAAAAACACATTTAGTCAAAAATATATCAAGAATTTACAATTATCTAAAATATAGAATATTTATTAAAGTATATTAAAAAGAGCATATACACTGGTAATTAGCAAAAACCTCATTATTATTTTAGCTGAATTTTTGTAAGTATATACAATGTATAAATAAAAATTGTAATAAAAGTACTTCAAAGTGATTGCTTATATGCTAGTGTTTTTAGATAAAGACCTGATTGCTTATATACTAGTTTTTTAGATCATGACCTAAGTATTGTATAGAAGTAAATGGAGAGGTGTGGTAATTTTACAGACTTTTAAAATTCATAAACATAGATCATTGTTAAAAAGATACCAAACAAATCTAAAAATATCTTCATAATCTCAGTGCTTCTTATCATATTCCATTCATATAAAGCTTGCTTCCGTTTTCATTATTATTAAACACAATGTGCTTGCTATTCAATATTTAATATTATGGTTCTTAAGAATTAGAGTTGTCAATATATTTTAAAGCCTGCTGTGTAAAGTAATTGCTCACTATATATAAATTCAGATCTTATTATTAAATCCAGATCTTATTATAAGATCCAGATCTTAATAGTAAGATTCAGATCTTAATAATAAGATCTGAATCTTAATAATAAGATCCATATAAATGATTAGATTCAAATTCAGATATTAACTCTAATTCAGAACTTGCTTTAAATTTATTTTTTCTAGATTTTTTAGCTAGCTATTATATGCCTTATTAAGATCTTTGCTCTACAATAGAGTATTACCAAACTGATGCCATTTTCTTGCAAGAAAGAAAAAAAAATTAAAAAAATAGATAATAAAAAAAGAGGCAAATATAAAAATAAATATATTATAGAAAATAAGTACTAATATTAAGGAATTAAAATCTATACTTTAAACCTAAAAAAGTAACAATTGTTAAATAGAAAAAATCTGCTAATTAGATAAAAACTTCTATCTATACAAAATAATCTACTATTAAATATGAGAGTTCTAACAATACAGTCCTGGATATTATCAAATATAAAAATTGATCTGCTATTAGTAAAAGACTATTCTAGAACTGATTTATATAGTATTTTTGTTTTTTTTAAAAAAAAATTACATTTAATAATAAACCTTCAAATTAATTTTAATATAAATTGTCCTATGACTATATAGTTTAAGAATCCGGTATGATCCCAAGGCCTTTAAAAGGCAGTTGTTTATCAAATAAGAAAACAAATAGTGATTGACGTAAATTTAGCCTCAAAGATTTTCATAGACTAGTCATAAACTTAAATGGAAGTCTCGAGAATTTTCTAATTATACAAAAAGATAGTGATTTGTAACATCCAAATTTAGTAATATTTGGGACTGCAATAAGAAGATTAAAAGAAAAAATAATATATATATTATAGTCTGTATACAGTATTTAAAAATTATATACATATTGTAATATAAATTAGTCATAGTAAACATTATGCACTATGATGATCACATGATCATGATACATATGACGATCACGTGACTATACATGCCACCGAAATAGGTTTTCAAAAAACTTCTATTTCATCTCCATTAGAGTAATTTGAAATTTTTTATATACAAGAGCAAATCTAATTAGATAGTTATGTTTCTTATAATTTCGTCTCTTCAAAAAAAGTGTCAAAAAATTTCGTCTTTTAAGTAAAATAGATCAAAAACAATTTCGTCTTCAAATTTTAATTTCGTAATCCAAAACCTAAAATAATTTCGTCGGCATATATACACATAACATCGACAGACCCTTCGCCCAACTTGCATATTTATTTATTCATTTATTAGTTTATTTATTTTTCATTATTTTATTATCGTTATGCATAGATCATTATGCATAGCATTGGTAGGATAGTAATTAAACATAAAACAGGTTTGTAATCAGGAGGAATTATAGTTTTAGGAAGACTAGTCTAGTGAATAGGTAGTTAGTATATTTGTTCTTGTAGAAATATAAAAACGTTCTTTAAAAAGTCTTTATAAAGCATTGTCCACGGCTCCAAAGTCTTAACTATTTAAATAAAACGCCTCTTCGTCTTGATATTTCTCCTAACAAAGACCTAAATCCACCCTATAACTGAATATTTCAGTTATATGACGACAGGACCTCAGGTCGCCTACCTGGAGAAAATTAATTCGAAGATGGCCCGTTTTATTAAATTACGTCCTGAATCTATACAAATATCTTAAACGGTCTTGTTATTATGATCGTCAAGTAACGTTTCGCCCAACGATTTTTCGTTAAATGCTCTTCCGATGCCCTAAAATCCGGTGTAGTATTAGTAAAACGAAAACAGAACAAAAGACAGACAAAAATTTATACTTATCTTGAAAAATTTTCATATCTAAGTCCTTTTTTGTACATTTCGTTGCGTATGTCCAATTCCCGACTTGTTCGACATCGCAATTATCCACAAAGATACCATTCTAAATAGATAGAGGAAATTAGTAAAGAAATGAAAAAGAAACAAAGGCAAATAAAACAAGTGATCTATACTTATCTTGCTATCCGGAAGTCTATTGTGTACTACCAAGAAGACCTAAACACCAGGAAAACTTAAGATCTAAAAAAGAGAAGGAAAGTGGTGGTTAATAAAGTATATATAAAAAAAAAAAAAAAAAAAAAAAAAAAAAACTAAAAACCACTTATCTAAAAGTCCATTGTCCCAAAAATCAATGACTGGAATTATATATTCGGAAGGTCCATATTTTGTTCTCAAGAAGTCCGGGCTCCTAAGTTCTTGTTCTGTCTCAGGTCTCAATTCAAGCCAAAGTCCTATATCTACCTTTAGAGCAACCCGCTCTTTTCAAGTTTGCAATTCCGAAATCACTTTGAACCAAGAGCCGGAAAAAGAAGAAAAAGAGATTGTTAATACAAAGAAAGATATAAAAAAAAAAAAAAAAAAAAAAACAAGAGTACTATCCTGGCCTTTCAAAATCTAAACCCGAAAGGTGAAGAAACGTTCTGGTGAAATTTCCAACAGAACTAAAAATTCAGAAAAGGAGAACGACTAAAGCAAAGTTGATTCATAATATATTTTTAATGAAATATCTTTAAGTAGAGTCACCTTATATTATAGTTCAGACATGTTTTAGGTAGTTAGATATATGCAAAATTGCCTTTCTGACATCTTTAACCCAACCAAGATAACCTCCAGAAAAGTAAATAAGACCGGTGAATGGGAAGAGAAAGGAGAAAAAGAAAAGGAAAAGGGAAATAAAGATACCTACCGAATCGCTTCTAGAAAGTGCCAGGAATAATGTTGGTTTCTATATGTAGATCAAAGGCCAGACCAAAAAATGAGAAACGAAGAACGAAGCTAAGAATAAAAAGATATGATCAATTAATGACTAGATAAATGTGATGATCACGTAGGTGACGTCACATAGAAGACAAGACAAAAAGAAGAAACATATGTATATATCTGACCATTGTACTACTCCGAAACTTAGAAGACAGCCTAATTTTCATAAAGCCCGAAAGAATCTATAAAACGATACTATAAAGAAGAATGAATAAATTAGTAAAAATAATATAACAGAAAAAGATGCACAGAGATCAAAAATACTGTTACACCCTAAATTCTGATGTGAGATCAAATAATAGTAAAAAAAAAAAAAAAAAAAATTTATTAGATGAATTTAGAAGAAATTTTTAAAGTAATGTTTTTGTTTTTTTAGTTTAGAATTTATATAGTGAATTTGAGTTTTTAGTTTAAAGTTTATTGCATTAGTGATTTGACGAATTTTGTGTTTGAGTTATTTGAGAAATGAAATAAGTACATACCTGTAAGTCGTGCACAAGGAATTCTAGTTGAAGGGATTTTAGTTGGAGGGATTTAGTTTTAGTTTGAGTATGTTGTATAGCGTAATGATAGAGCCTGGTCTAATGAAAAATAAGACCTACACAAAAGTAAAGTTTGGCTATAGGTTAGGCTTGTAAGTTTTTGGTTACAGGTTAGCTGAGGTATAAAACCCCTGAATTAAGTTAGTTTATAGAATTCTGGTTATGGGTACACCAAGGAACCTAAAACCCTAAATAGAATTAGTTTATTTTTTATAGAAGTTTAGAATAGAATAAGTCACTGGTTGACTAGCTTGGAGGACCTCACATCTTAAAGAAGAGGGATATGTAATATAAATTAGTTGTAGTAAACATTATACGCTATGATAATCACGTGACCATGATACACGTGATGATCACATGATACCTACTACACCAACGGCACCTCCAAATTTTTTGCGCAGTCACGTGGTATTATGTGCTGTGATTGGCTAATTGCAGATTAATTTATTATTAAGTCGTGAATAGTCCCTGAAAGAATACCGATCTTAGAATTTACTCTAATTATGTATAAATACGCTTGCCTTTCAAGTATATTATTTAAATTATTTATTTAATAATCCAGATATAGAAATACAGCATATTTAATTCACGCTTGCACTTTATTTTTCAATAATAAATTCATTAAAAAAACATTTAGATTTTCAAATTTGAATTGATAAAAACAGCATTTGAAAATTAACAATGATAAGCATATGCTAAGTGAACTTTTCTTGTTCAAATTGCCAAGACACTAATTAACAACAAAGTTATTAATATTGATTTGTTTTGTATGCACAGCGATTAGCTTTTTTTTTAAAAAAAAGGTTTTGCTAAGTAGTCATTTGGCCCATAATATTATCCTAAAATAAGAAGGTTAAATTTAAATTTAAAGAATCTGATAAAATATTTATTGACTAAAAATTATACCAGAATTTTCATCGGCTCCTTTAATAGTTTACATTCATTTATAATAAACATCATGGTGACTGTTAATTTAATTAATAAAATTAACATAGCAATATTTAACTAAAATAAAATTATAAAATAAAAATTATATACCAACCTCTAAAGCTACAAAAACATAGTGTGCCGATTATGATCTTTCCACGTTCTTGGATTCTTTATTTTTCTTTTATACGCCTTGATATCCGTTACCAGTTTATTAATACCCTTGAAGCTTTTTTCAACAGATTTTGCCCATTTAACATTCTTAATTTCATGTTGTTCTTGTACAATTGATAATGCGTCTTGCAACATTGATTCATAATTTTTAAAAAGTTGATCCGAATTATTGTTTGTAGTGGCAGTAATATCTTTAAACGCATCTAAAAAATAGAATTTTATTTAATTGTATAAGCTGTAAATTTATTAAAATTTATATTTTCTTACCTGACAATGAATTATTCAACGTATTACTTAACGATAATGTTGTGCCAACTGATGGTTGTGTAGAAGTTTGTTGGCCTGGTAAGTATATAAATGGATAGATATCTTGTCTTTGAACACTATGATAAAATGCTGGGTTTATAGTAAATAAAGATGATTGAACTAAGTGTTTACATAAAAAAAATCGATTCATTAAGAATCCAGTACAATTGCAAAACCATTTATCGATATCAGTTATGTAAGTATTATTGATCTCCTTTTTTTTTAATGAAATCCATTCTCTTTTAAAGTTTTTTCGCCAAGATGGAATTTCACGTTTGTTAAAATACTTGTAATATTGTTGTTCTTGGTGTGGAATAAGCCGTGAAGTAATAATATAAGTTACAAGATCAAGCCGTGGTCGGAAGAATTTTTGTAAGAAGTTACGTTTGATCACTTTCCAATGTGATTCAACAAGCATAGTGGTGCGAAAAACACAAATTCGATCAGATATTGCAGAACGGACCCAAAGCTGCCAAAGTTCATTACGATACCAATTTGTCCATAAATATGACCAAAGGTATTTAAGATCGTTCGTAACACAAAATTCATACATTTCTTTTGTGCATTGTGTCCAGATTTCATCTTTTGTGCTAAAGATCCCTTCTAAATTAGGAATAAGAGGATGCAAATGCATGTGATGCTCCATAATCGAAATAACTTTAGGTCGTAGATTTTTTGGACAAAAGCAAAAATTGCTCTTTGGTAATTCTGTAGGATAAAATTTAATATCAATGAAGTTAAATGAATTATGTGCGTCATAAGAACTATATGTTATTCTTTTTGGTTGAGAATTATCCACTAATCGCTTTTTAAGTGCCTTCTTAAAGTGCCAATAACAAATTTGCACTTTAATATTTATCCATATTTGCCGTGCTGCTGAAATCTGTGCAAAGTCCTTATCCGTATATAAATAAACAAGTTTGTTCATTCCTAAGTTATGTAGTCTTTTAAAAAAGTCAGCTAAAATTTCTGTTCGTGCTCCATCTTGCTTATTTCCTTCAACAAATAAGTATGCCATCACAAAGCCTGAACCATCATACTGACTAATTACTGAGTAAAGTTCGTATCCTAATGCATTCGTTTTATACGTTGCATCCACAAATATCTCCTTATTTTCTTTAAATTTTTCAAAAAACGAAGTAATAAACCCCAAAAGTTTTACTCCATTACTATTATTGAACATAATAACTTGCAAATTATGCTCTTCTAAAAACATTTTTGCTGAATTCACTTGATCATCATCGCGAATAAACTCTTTTTGGATAAATACCGTCCACCATGCATGAATTTGCTTTTGCGATATCTCTGGAAAATCTTGCTCTATCATACTATAAATATCACTTGGGGCTAATTGAAGGTTTTCCTTAATTTTATTTTTGATTTTGTCAGTAACACGATTTCTTTCAGGCTGTTGATGTAAAGTTTTGTGCTTAAGGTAAATAAAGGCACTATCATTCATCATATTTATAGTAATTCGAAGAGTACCACCACAGTCGAATCGTTCTATTGACTCACGATCTCTTTGCTGATTAGGATCTTGATGTTTTCTTGGTTTTTTTGTCAAATTTTGACATTGAGAACAACGATATTGAAATGTATATAACTCAGCAGTTTTCTTTGAATGGTAATTATTTAAATATATATAATAATATCCGTCACTATTACCAATCAAATCAGCAATCTTTCTTGAAATTTCATGGGGACTATCTTCCGCTTCTTTAATATTGTCCAATGTAATATCACATTCGAAGTTAATTCCAGCAGATTCATTTTCCAAGTTTTCATCACAACCAATTATCATAATATCATTATATAGTTTTTTGGCCATCTCTTTAGGAGGTAAGGTTTCTTTTTCATTATTTTCAAGCGACTTTTTATAATAAATTGAAGACTGTTGACGACACAAATTACAATATTTAACATCACAACCTTTTTCATTAATAAATTGATTCTTGGGCATAAACTTTTGACACTTTGAACATTTTTGTAATGTATTAGTTTTATTTGTATGAACTTCATTTATTAATATTTCCATTTTATGTGTAAAGAGAAAAAAAGATTTGCATCGATATTTATTCTAATTATTAAATTACCAAATTACGTCATATCGATATTATATCGATATTAATAACTGAAACATAATTGATGATCGTCATATGTACGTACAGTACGTATGTGCATATATTTTATCACGTGACTGCGCAAAAAATTTGGAGGTGCCGTTGGTGTAGTACATGATACCGACGAACTCTTCGTCCAACTTGTATATTTATTTATTCGTTTATTAGTTTATTTATTTTTTATTATTTTATTATCGTTATATATAGATCGTTATACATAGCATTAGTAGGATAGTAATTAAATATAAAACGGATTTGTAATCAGGAGGAATTATGGTTTTAGGAAGACTAGTCTAGCGAATAGGTAGTTAGTATATTTGTTTTTGTAGAAATATAAAAACGTCCTGTAAAAAGTCTTTGTAAAGGCATTGTCCACGGCCTCAAAGTCTTAACTATCTAAATAAAATGCCTCTTTGTCTTGATATTTCTCTTAACTAAGACCTAAATCCACCCTATAACCGAATATTTCAGTTACAATATAACTTTGAAATTTTATATATTTTGTATTTATTGCTTTATTATCTCTTCAATTAAATTTATATATGAATCCAAAACATTAAAATAAAACCTTTATGTGTATTATTCTTTATGAATAATTTGCCTAATTTATCTACTTACAAATCTTTTTTGAAATATTATCTCTATATTAAATATGATAAAACAGAAGATCTTCTCTTTGTTCACTTAGTCATTATTGAAAGCTACTTACTGAATCTATCTTAAAAAATCTTCATTCTTGACAAAATATATTCAGATTAATATGAAATGTAACTCTATATATTATTATATTTTTAATTCATCTTATCACAACTATATATGCTAACAAAATTATTTTAGATTTTGAGATACAAAATTAAAATTTAAAACTGAATTGTTTTTAACTTATTTTACTTAAAAGATAAAATTTTTTAACATTTTTTTTGAAGAGACAAAATTATAAAGAATATAATTATTTAAATTAAATTAGTTCTTTACATATAAAAATTTTAAATTGCTTTATTAGAGATGTAATAAGATTTTTTTAAAAACTTATTTTAGTGGTATATATAGTTACAATATAAGATTTTCTGATATAAAAGTAGTAAACAATATCAATTGTTTGGAAGAGTAAGCCAAATTCTTTACTTTTATCAAAAATAATAGAAATAAAAAAAGAATAACAAAAAAGTATTATAATTAAATGAATTTTTAACCAAAGAGTATTGTTTCAAAAGTTCTTTTCTTCAAACAAACTTTAGTTTTACTGTTTTTAAAAACTTTTTAATTTATATGCTAAATGCAAAAGAGAGTTCACTTTACAAGCTAGAAAAAAAAGGTTTGATCCTTTTGTAAACTGTCCAAAACATCTACTTCTCAGTATATTATATTTAAAGACTTCATTAATAACAGTTTGTTTCAAGTTGTTGTTAACTTCCAGTCTTAAATTTTTAACTTGCTTTTAGTATCTGGTTAGTATAAGTAATCATCAAAAAAAATGATATGATTAGGGTGAGAGTATAAACAAATTTATTCATGTTCAGCTTGGGTATAAAATTATACTTGAGACATGTCTAGGCATGTTCAAATTAGTTTTTTTTTTTTTAAAAAAAAAAAAGAATTATCTAATTGGCTAAAATTAATTATATTTAATATATTAAAATACAAATATGTATAATACTTGCTTTTTTTCAGATCAGTTCAAATAATGAAAAACTCATAGAACTGGCTTAACCATTGGCAGATACTTGCCTCTTCACAACACGTATCTGATGATCATTTGTCAAATTGTTACTGAAGTATCACAAGGGTTAAAGAGCTAGTAGTATATTAATGCCCATATAGGCATATAAAAAATTTTATGCCTATAGGCATGTCCAAAATATATATCTGCATAGATATGCCTATGTCCTTAAACCCCACTTTAGATGTGATTGATATTGATTGAAGTTTTTTTCTAAATGATTTTATTTTAATATATTAAATAGATAAATATAAAAGTAAAAACTAATTTGTTTAGTAGTATATAATTTTTTTAAACTATTTATAAACTTATAATAATAGTATTAAGATAAACAAAATTATTTTTGTTTTTGATATTCTTTTAGAGATATAACAAAAAACAGATAATTTTTTAGGAGAGAGAGGTGTAAAAAATTTAAAATTATATATAAAAATCTAATCCAAATATATTATAAGAGGGAGGAGGAGGATAAACTTCTAATAAAAAAAATCAGGTGATAAATGATACTGCTCTTATTTCTTTCTTTTTGTATTTGTATATTTTTACAGCAACTCTTTATATCTCTGTGTTTTTTTTAGTTAGTTTGTTTTGTTTTATTTTTTTATTTTGCTTTTTGATGTAACAGTATAGCTACTAGCTAATAAACAACAGGAAAAAAGTTATTAATAAATTAAAAACCTGAAGAAATGTCAAAAACTACTAAAATATATCATATCTAATGTATAAAATTACATGGCCAAACCTTTGTTTTAGTTGTATTTATTATAGTTTAGTGATAAAATTATTGTAATTTTTGAATTGATTTGATTCTAAAATAAACAAAAGCAGAATAGCTGAATTAGAAAAAAAAATTCTTATAATATAATACCATCAAAACTCTTTCTGCTAATCTGCAATTTTTAATTGATCAAAAATAAAATCAATAATTATCTCCAAATCTAATATAAGAAACAAGGTATCTTATACTAAGAGAAAAGAAAGAGCACTTAAAATAACCTATAGTTTATTAAGAGAAGCATTACTTAAGACCTTTAGTTTGACAACAACAAATTTTTTGGAAATTTTTAAAAAATTTTCAAAAAATTTTAGGAATTTGCCTAGACCCTGAAAATCTGATCTTAAAACACATAAACAACAACAAAACAACAAACACGTAAGATCGGAAAAATAAATAAACAAATAAACAGCAGATCACGTTACTATTTTTAGAATTAACAGAAAAACAACAAGTAAACAAACAACACATATACTATTATCAAGAGCAAAAAGATTTTTCTAAAAAACGCACTAGATTTTAATACAACAAAGTAGAATTTAAATCAACTTGTAAAGATATTCATACAAGAATTTTGATATATAAAATTATAACAACTCTAAAGAGAATTAAGTGTATATTTTCAAAGCCAGTAGAGGAAAAACAAGACATATGTGAATTATAAACAAGATTTACTATTCAAACAGATAGATGTGTAGCAAATTATCTGGGAGTAGAAAATCCAAAATATATATCATTTATTTGTATAGCATTAGAAAACTACAAAACAGCATTTCAAAAGTTTTCAAAAGGCAACAAATTAAACTCAGAAGATCAAGAACTAATAGAAATAGATCCAAAAACTAACATGATTAAGTTTAGAAATTTGATTACGAAAAGACCACAAGAAGAAAAAACCAAAAATACAACAACTATTGTCAAGACTGAAAGAGTGATCTCTCCTTTCGTACAAGTAAAAATGGAGATTGAAGAACCTACTACGCAATTAGTTCTCAACAAATCAACACAAAAAAGAAAATATACAGACCTTGACGAAAATAAAGAAGAAAATAAAGAAGGTCTGAAACGTAAACGTCAAGATAGTAATTCAGACAAAGTTACAGAAGCAATATTGAATGAATCAGAGAAAAAAATTCTCGAAAGCTCTGATGATGAAAGGTAGAAGATGAAATAATCCTACTATATATAGAATGTGGATCATATAATTAAAGAACAAAAGAAACCAAAAACCTCGTATTATTAAGACATAGCAAAAGATCAGTTGTAGTTCCTTCTAAAAAAGAAAAGAAGAAAAAAGATAACATCTTTTATGAAGATATACATGGATCCAGGTGGGCTTCTAAAGATATCAATAACTTAATTTGGGCTTCAAAAAATAGATCGAAGGAAAATCTACAGAAAAAAGAAATGCTTCAAAGCTCTACCAAAACAGAAGAAACCAAAAGTTCAAAACCTGAATATAAATTAACCTTATAGGATCTACTAAAAGATACTTGGTCTAACAGAGTAAAGGGATGTTTTAGTTTCTATAGCAAAGCAAAAATCCTAGAATGGAAAGAGAATCAACAAGAAGTGAAGAAGTTGAAAGCAGCCTATATACAAGTTATATGCTGAAATCAAGAAAGATTTAAAGTATTACAAGAAAGTTGGATAGTTCATTTTGAAGAAGGAAGTATGTGCAGAATAACTCCAGGTTACTTTGATAAAGCTAAGCTTATTAATAAAAGGAAGTATGCAGCAAGACTACAAGATCTTTTGTATAATACTCTTGAGTCCTCTTTACTTAGACAACTCAAACCAAGCAAAGCCAAGGCAGTATATATTCTAAGTAATAGCAATGGAAATAGAAGGAGTATTGTACTTGTTTACTTTAGTAGCGAAGAAGATTGTCTAAATACACAGAAAAGACAAATATACTACTATAACAAGAAGCTTACTTGGATGGATCACAAGGAAGGAAAAGAGAAAAAACCAATATATGCAGAAATTGTAACAAGAAAGTTAGAAAAGAAGTCTGGCAATGAAGAAACTTCATACAAGAAAAAAGCAAAAAAAGAAAAAGGCAAAGAAAAACAGACCCTAAATGAAGAAAA